ATTTTGAAAATATTTATTAAAAAATAATATTTTTAATAAATATATTATATAATATATTAAACTATAAAAATGTACAAAACAATATCAAATCCACAACAATTGATACCAAGCGCATATAAGTAGATATTATTCAATGAATGAGATATGAATTATTATTATGTGTTTGACTGATTGACTGGATTTGTTTTTTAAAAGTAGACTCTTGTAAGGCTTGTACTCCCTCTAAAGGCAATTTTTCCATTTGATTGATAAAGAGAACAAGCAGCTATAAGCCAAATGGTTTCAAAAAGTAACCTTGATTTTTCCACAAGAAGTTAATCACAGTCGATATCATGGTTCCCTCCAAACATTTATATACATGCATTTGGGCTACTTCTGTGAATTCTTCTTTGTGATCATGATCATTGTATCATTATTAATGCACAATGTGCTATCATACTCCTCATGACGCGTTTCGGTCGATCAGGGTGCCATTTCTTGGGGTCCCCTTCTCCCATTTTGGCTACGTACGTAACTGAATCTCTTGGTAAATTGGATGACAATGAACCCCATTATTTGCAGATTTTGTGAATGGTGTCCTTTCAATCTCTTCGACCCAGCAGGGTCCTTTTTTGCGCAAGATCTGATAAGAATAAATATCATCTCAAAGATCTTTGGAGCATATTTAATGAAGAAGCTGAGTTGATAGAAATAGTATTGTTGCTTGCACAAAGTCCGTACTGCACTAAGCTAGATATATAGTTATCTTATCACATGTTATATTAGTGTTCATGAAAAGAAGGAATACAACTTGGTTATCCCATGAAAACGTCAAACTTACACTGATCAGTTAATAACTAGAACAATGATTAATAATTTTTTTAATTTAACACACTTTATAATATATTTATTAAAAAATAATTATTTTTAAATTTAATTTAAAAATAAAAAAAAATAAAATATAAAATTTAATGATTAAACTAATATTAGTTATTATGAAGCGTATTAAATTGAAAAGTGTATCAATAATTGTTTTAATAACAGTTTTATATGTTTTTGTTATTTAAAAAAAAAATTGATATATTTTTTAACTTAACATAGGTTTGGATATTTATTTGTTTCAATTATTAAAATATAATATAAATATAATTAATTTTTATATATTTATATTAATAAAATAACTGTTTAAAAAAAATCAGTTCGTATATATTATATATATTTCTACATCTTTATATAAATTTATATATTTTTAATTTTAAATTAAAAAATAATAAATTTTTAATAAATATATTATGAAATATGTTAAACCAA